CGTGTTGGGTGGTCCACGTCACGCGCGCTAGTAAGTCTGGTGACCGCAACGACCTTGAGCTCCAGGCAGATTGAGGCCACGACGGGAAAGCCAGACATCGGACAGACGACGGCCCACTACAGATGTAGCGCCAAGGACAATTCTCCTAGGAGTTCAAGGACCCCACACTCTTCCAACTTTACAAGCGGAAATGGAACCCCAAACTCTGCGACCATTACCAAATGATACCGCTGCCCAGCGCTTTCGGAGAAATCTTCACCCATATTCTCCTAAACCGCCTCAACAGCCACATCGAACAACGATTCCTATCACAAAGCCAATGTGGGTTTCGTCATAATCTCGGCACCACCGACATGACCTTCGCCGGGCGACAGCTATAGGAAAAGTGCCAGGAAATGCGAATCCATCTCCAAACGACCTTCACGGACCTGACAAACGTCTTCGACACGGTGAATCATGACGGACTGTGGAAAGTCATGCAGAAAATCTGCTGTCCAGAGTGCTTCACTCACACAACACCCCAGCTCCTTGACGAGACAATAGCACGCGTCACTGACAACGGGATTTTACCAACGGGGAGAAGAAGGCTGTTCCTATGCGCCTACCTCCTTCAGTCCTATGATCTCTGCCATTTTGATGGACGTCTACCGCAACGAGTGCCTCAGGATCCGCATCACCTACGGGACTACACGCGAGCATCCACAACCACCGTCAACAGCGTACTCTTCGCGGACGTCTGTGTTCTTAATACAACGACAGAACGGGGCAGGCAAAGGAATAGTGACCACTACACCGTCCATAACGCTAACTTCCGACTTACAATCAATACTGACAAAACGGTGGTAATACGCTAACCTCGACTCGATGCTGACTACACTGATTCCCAGGTCATCGTCAACGGCGCTGAGCTGAAAACTGTGGACAACTTCGCTTGTGATGGCACCATTTAAAAGCACGAGAATTAACGAGGATATTGCCGACCGCATCTCCAAAACTAGCCATACACTTGGTCGGCTGTAAGCCTGCGTGTGAAATCGTCCTAGCCTCCAACTAATCTCTTAACTGCAGAGGTACTAGGCTGTCATCCTCACGCACCTCTGTAAGGAGCGAAGACCTGACCAGTCTACATCAGCAAAGCACGCAAGTTGAACCACTTCAATGTCAGCTGCCTTCAACGAATACTGAACTTGAGGTGCAGGACAGGATCCCGGACAAGGAAGTCCTGGTGCGAACAGGAATCCTTAGCAGTCACGCCATGCTGAGGCAATTTCATCTGCGTTGGAGCAGCCAATTTGTGCGGATGGATGACGAACGACTACGGAAGCGGCTGTTCTAAAGAAAAGTCACTGTGGGTGCTCACCGCCGAGGAGGAGAAAAAAGGCGCTACAAGGACACCCTAAAGAACACAACGAAGGGCTTCAAAATCAACCCGAC